ATCATCATGTGCTGAGTTAAATGATGTTTATGACTAAAACATTTTCCACAGTTCACGCATAAAAACGGCTTTTCACCCGTATGAGTTCTCATGTGAGCCTCAAAAGCAGATCTGAAAGCAAAATGCTTTTCACAAGTGACACATGAGAAAGGTTTTCTTCTTTCCTGATTTTGCTTCTCAGCTTCAGCAGCTTCCTGGAAGATGACTTGGTTCCTGTTTGGTTCTGATTCAGTTTGGTTTGTTTGCTCATTAACAGGAACCACCATGCAGGTATCAGTCTCCTGTTCTAACTTAATCTGTTCTTCACCCTGACTGCAGTAAACTTTTTTCTCTTCCACTTTTATCTGCAGATGTTTTAGATCCTCCTGCTCTAATTTCATCTGCCGATATTCTAGATCCTCCTGCTCTTCTTTCATCTGCCGAAGTTCTAGATCCTCCTGCTCTTCTTTTATCTGCAGACGTTTTAGATCCTCCTGCTCTAATTTTATCTGCTGGTGTTTTAGATCCTCCTGCTCTTCTTTTATTTGCTGATCTTCTTGCTCTTCATGTTGCTGTTTCACCTGCAGAGGTTCCAACTCCTCCTGGTCCAGAGTGGAGCTCCTCTCCTGGTTACAAAGCTCCTCCTCATAAATGTTATGTTGTAGGTGATCTGAGGAAGAAAACAAAGGAATTAATTTCATTGAAATAATATTCAACTGCTGTACTCTTAAGGTGTGACATGGCTGTACTCGTCTGGAGTACAGCCATGTCACACCTTCTCCTATTCTTTCAATGTATTTCTCTCTTGTGCTGTTTATATCTGTCTGTCAGCATTCTATTTGTCTACCTTTCTGTATATGTCTTCTGCTTTTACTGGTTTTACTGTCTGCAAATGTTTTTTGCAAACTTTACAGTTTGCTTCAGTGAATTTATGCTTTTTGCAAAGTTTCACTTTTTGAGTTCTTAAACTAGTTCAGATTTTATACTAATTTCTGCTTCTGTTTATGCTTTTTGCTATGTTTCACTATTCACATATTTCAGTTTGCATACTAATTTATGCTTCTGCTAATCTATGCCATTTCTTTTGCTATGTTCTACTTTATAACTTTTCAAATATTTCAGGTTGAATTCAAAATTATGCTTCTGCTAATTCATGCTATGTCTGACTAAATTTCACTCTTTAGCAAAACATTTCGACCATGTATGACTGTTGCTTCATTCTGCTTTTTTCCCCCATTTCTTATGCTTTGTTCTGCTGTGTTTTGCATTTTCTGCAGCAATCATTCTGCAAATATGCATTCTCACAGCTGTTTTGCTAGGAACAGCAATTTTTTTCTTCTAGTTTTTAATCAGTGAGAATGCATTACTCCATTCCCACTTAAGATCCTGCTCACATTTTTCGGTCATTAACTACTTCTCCTATCTTCAACTAATTGTGTTAATTCATATATCAAAATGTTCTGCTTCTTCTGGAGATTTATGCTATGACTTTTGGTAAATTTCACTATTGTACTTTTTGAAATAGTTGCCCTTTTGTGCATTTGGGTTTTTTTTCCCCATTGAAATACATGGTGGAATTCTCTAACTGTTGTCAGTTGCTAGAGTGTACACTCTAGCAACTGACTTTTTTTGACAAAATTTTGCTGATCATACATATTTAACTGTACAGGAATAATTTATGTAGCCACGCATGTCTACTTTAAGGAACTACTACTATCATTGTTACAGGTCTTACTGTTTTGTGTCAAACTCTTCTGGAGTACCGACATGTCACACCTTCTATTCCTTCAGTGTATTTCTCTACTGTGCTCTGTCTATGGGTGCGTTCACACTGCAGCCTGAAGTGACTCAATTCCGATTTTTTTGGCAATTCCGATTTTTTTGCCGGGCCGTTCACACTGCCATTAAATGCGACCTGTATGCGTTCTGCAGTGTAAACGGGCAAACGACCTGAAAGTGTCCCACATGCGCAGTAGAGGGCGCAATAGCGTCAGCGTTCTAAGTGTTCTGCCAACTGCCATAAAAAGAAGTGCTCAGTGTTTGCGGAAGTAAACATGGAGGCTAACGGTGGAGCTTAGTTTACATATTTGAAGTTGTTATCTGGCCGGAGCAGCATATTAACAACTTAATCCTCATATATTCCGTCATGGTTGTTGTTTTTCTTCCCACTTGCACGTAACAGGACACAGAATAGTGAGATTTGTTGAGAAACAGTGACGTTCAGTTCGGAAGAATGCGACCTGAAAGTTACGTCGCATTTGAATCGGATACGTATCGGATATGGGTCAGATTCGAAAAAGAATCTGACCTGTGCTGTTCACACTGCCATGAAAAGATCGGATACAGGTCGCATTACGTCAAAAAAAAAATCGGAATCGAGTCACTTCAGGCTGCAGTGTGAACGCACCCTATGTCTGTGTGTCAGCATTCTGCCTTTCTGTTTGCCTTCTGCTTTACTGGTTTTACTGTCTACAACTTTAATCAATTTTACCAATTCATATATCAAAATATTCTGATTTTTGTACTATTTTTTTTTGCTTTTTGCTATAATTTATTTTCAACTCTTTCAGGTTTGTACTAATTTCTGCTCTTGAAATTTATGCTTTTTTGCAAAGTTTTCCTTTTCAGCTTTTTCAAATATTTCAGGGTTTATACTTATTTCAACTTTTGCTAATCTATACTATATCTTTTGCTGTATGTTACTATTGTACTTTTTCAAATATTTCTGTTGAGTTATGCTATATCTTATGTTACTATTGTACTTTTACAAATATTTAAGGTTTTATACAAATATTCTGTTTGTCTACCTTTCTGTATATGACAGACAGACAGATAGTGTAAATAATTTGAAAAAAATCCTATAAAGGGGAGCTGCAGCACAAGGGTCTGTCTTCTGCTATTAATGATTTGTTTTTGCTTAATCAGATTTCTCTTGCTCAATTTCATTTCTTGTTTTTCAGATTTTTCCTGCTCCTTCCACTTTCTACTATACATGGATGTAGCCTTTTTTGTGCTTTTTTCCTATTTCTTATGCTTTGTTCAGATATATTTAAACTAATTTCTGTTTCTTCTGATTTATATCTTTTACTTTTCACCTCTTTCAACTATTTCAGGTTTTATATTAATCTCTGCTTTTGCTAATTTGTACTATTTCTTTTGCTGTTTTTATTATTACATTCTTCAACTATTTCAGGTTTTTTTTTTAAACTAATTTCTGGTTCTGCTAATTTTTGCTATTCTTTAGCTAAAATTCACAAATTGACAAAAGATTTCTACCAATCATGGCAGTAGCTTTCTTCTGCTTTTTTAACTTCTTATGCTTTGTTCTGATTTTTCTTGCATTTCTGCAGCAGTCATTCTGCAAATATGCATCCTCACGGCTGTTTCGCTAGGAACAGCAATTTTTCTAGTTTATTTTGTCTCTGTGTTATGTTATTGTATGATCATAAATATGGTTCAGATTAAACAATAAAAAATTTTAATCATGAAAAAAACATTGGGTTTGATGCTTCTTGGTCTAAATAACAGTGAATGAAGTCTGGTTTTAATGTATTTAGGTGAATTTTGGCGCTTTGTAGTTTGTTACTGTCCACAAAAAAGTTTATGTGGCTGCTCAACATTTTCATGGCAGGTAAAAAGTTTGCGTATATTTACAAAAACTTTCACACACGTTCAATTTTGCCAGTATTTGTGTAAAATATGTGTGAAAGCACGCTTTATACACGAAGGCCCAGATTTTTAAAATGATTTAGTCCTCATATTTTTTTTAATAATTTTTTATTTATTGTGAAATTATTTCTTGTAGGCTTTATTTTAAAATACATTTTATTATGTTTAGGTATCAAATTATTATTGCATTTACAAATACAAAAGTCACCATTATTTTCCTCTGCTTATTTGACTAACTTTGCGCTGCATTGTTTCTACTGTGGCTTGAAAAGTAAAAATGCCCCTTGAACTTTTCAACATTTTGTCACATCACAACAACATGCATAAATATATTTAAGTGGAATTTTATATGAAATACCAACAAAAATTGGGATACAACTGTGAACTAACTGACGATGTGAACTTTGACTGGGCCATTCTAACACACGAACTTGTTTTGTTTCAAAGCATCGCATTGTAGCCCTGACTTTATGTTTAGGGTGGTTGTCGGGCTAGAAGGCGAACATCGGCTCCGCTGTATATTTTCGTTTTCAAATGTAAGTCTCTGTAGTTATAAAGAAGAAAGAGCCAAAAAAAAACACAACGGAGGTCACTGGCTCCATTTTCTCTCGTCACAAATAAGCTGTTTCCACAGTTGTGATTTCTGCGTTCATTTTGCTGTAAGCAAAATATTTACACGGGAAAGGAGCAGTTACTAGAATAATCCTCATACAGAAAGCTTCATACATTTAGACCTTAACCTGCATCCACACGCTGGTGTTTCCTACCTATTCGATGTAAGATTATCTGAGGAATCCGGGAGAAATCAAGCAGTCTGCGCTGATCATCCATCTCTTCCTCCAACTTGACTGTTATTTCTTTAAACTTTGTGAAAGTTTCTTCAGCGGCAGTTAACTGCTTGTTCATAAACTGGTTCAAGCTGGACTGTAGATATTTTTAGAGAAACTCGAACATTCAACACAAAAGACCACGTTCCGTCTTTGTCTTTTTCTTCTTCCTCTTCCTCATACTCTTCCTCTTCTTCTTCGGGATTGTATGATGTCGGCATTCATGTCATTGATTTACCGCCACCTTGTGGATCATACGAACATCACATCTGAAGATTTCTCAGTTCTCTTTGAAAAACGTAAAATCTTTTCTTCCACTTTATCTGAATGAAACAAATACAATAGTATTCCAGTTTTCCGTATATCCATTGCTAATATCGTCCTCTGACTCGTATCTTCTACATCCCGCAACATGTTTCATAGTTTATTCACTACACCAGATAACAACCTTTCCCATAGTATTCATATATCCTTATTGAGAGCCGATCAGCACCGGTTTGTACACTTAATTATTTCATCGTTTTTATTTTAATAAATTATAACGCTGAAACAGTGTGTATTACCTGTGCCCATTTTCATTTGCCTGGGGCTGGGAGTAAGTCCCAGGCGGCGTTTTTGGCAACAAGCAAAATCTAATTGTGTATTTTTTACCATCGATTGTGTTGAGTTTTCTTCTTCAGTGTTCACAATGAACCACACTTTTCGTCAGATAGCTGTCTTCACTTAATTGCTAACGTTCAGGTTCAACTTCTTCTTTGGAACAGTGCTGCCTACACAAAAGAACTCGCTCTCATTGCCCCCCAGTGGACAACTGCAGCACAACATGCACGAACATCATATTTAACAGAAAGTAACAGGATAAAGAACTTGCAGCTGTGCCTTTCAAAGTAAATAAAAAAACATAAACACATAACACAACATAACTCAAAGACAAGTTAAGATGAGAACATAATCTAAGAGATTGTCACACTTATATTTATTTAATGTTAGCTTATACACTCTTATTACTGCACTAGATGGATTAAATCTCATTTCTCCCTTTAATCCTAAAATTATTCAATATAATATACTGAGATGTTATACTTTAGCTTTGCAAGTATGACTATGTAGTATTTATATTTTTAAGTGGGGATGTTAGTACTGATTTTAAATTATTCCGTTTAGCTAAGTTTTTGCTGTATAACCAGATTTGCAAATTGTTTAAAGGCAAATGTTCTACTTTCTCAGACAGCAAACATATATCTATGTATAGAGATTAAAATAGTTCCAACATGAAATACATGGTAATCTATAATAGAAGACAGCTGTAGCAGAAAAGTGAAAAATACAACTAAGACAAAAGAAATTATTGAAGACATTAATCAACCATACTTTCAACAATCAAGAAAAATCAATTCATGAAAATTAGTTCATAGTGAATATTACAAGTAAAACTATTTTTATTTACTCATAAAGATTTTACATAGGTAGAGTTAGACTGATTAATGTAATTTGAAATGTAAAACACCATCACTTACAATCTCATTTTGCTTGAAAGACAAACCTATCAAAGATTTTATTTATAGATCATTTTGAAAATGCACAATTAATGTAAGAGTTCACACGTTGTATTTTTGATTATAAATGTATTAAAGTAAACAATTTAAAGTGTCATGGAGTCGTCAGCCTCATGACATTAACACTGACATGAAAAATAATATTGAAGAAATAAATATATCAAATCTAATTAAAACATAAATGAGTTATACATATCTTACTGTTATGGTCTGTAAGATATATTTATTCTCAGTATTAGATGTGGTCTCAACAAACCCATGGCATTTCAACAATATTATTTTACCTTTTATCTGGAAATATTGTCTGTTTATTCTTGCCATACAGTCCTCTGTATTAAGTATTGCTCAAAATGACTTGCCATACCAGTTTATTCCTCTGTATTTACTTTAGTTTCTTAGTTTATTCTTGCATTTTTTTTCTTCATTCATTTCCATTTAGTTTCCTTTGATTATTATCCTCTCTTGGTTTATTTCTATGTCCACTTTAGTTTCTTTCCTGTTGCTACATTTATTTTATCATGTATTGTCGCTCACCATCATTAATCTTCACTCATCACCTGCTGCGCCGCCTAATCATCATGTGTTTCACATCATGTGTTGATTTTTCACTGTCCAACGTCAGATTCTCTGTTTTTATGCCATAATTCACATCTAGTTCGTCACTCCGTTTTATGTCCCGCTTCCCCTGTTTCAGAGTTTTGTGCAATGTGCGTGTTGTTTTTATTTTTTTTTTTAGCCCCCAAAGGTGCACAGCGGTCGGGAAACGTATCGATGGGGAAAAGGCAGACTGACATAAACCTCATAACAACGGAAACAATTTCTGCATTCTGATTATTGAAATTTAAAAGTGCTGTGTTGTTCTATCACCCCCGTTTCATACCGGACCACTTACAGCTCTGGTGTTAACGCTATAAAATGAACGCCCTCTATCGTGGTATCACCATGGAGGGATTTCTTTATTTGAATGGGTTCATTTTTCAGAGGGAAAATGTGTACAGTGAGGTGATTTTAGCTACCAATAGCAGGAGAACGGAGCTGCACCAAGAAGCTAAC